AAAACCGAATCTAATAACGACGACTTGTGTTCTAAATCTTAGTGTTGTAGAAGTTACGTTTTAAACTAAGTCAGACTCCAACACTGTTAAAAGCAGATCATTTTCGAAGCAACTGCCTGAGACTAAGGATTTAGACTCTTCCCAGTTTATATATGGAGTTGCCTATATGATTTGTAATGGTCAAGTGTTTTAATTGTGACCTAAGTTAGCCATTAATTCTTTAGACCGAAGTGATTGATACAGCCGTATTCTACCGATGGGATACTATTTCAACAGCACATAAAACGATCATCATATGGTGTTATTACTACATGTAGTGAATACCTACAATTTTGCATAGACTGACTGATAAGCGCTAATCGCTTAGAGTCCTGACTAGTTCATCAAGCCTGGTTTGCGGTGAACACTTGTCTTTATCGTTGTAGATGATACTGGATCAAAGCTCGCAGCGTTTTTCTATGATTTCCGAACTTTACTTTCGGCTAACGTCGAAGATTCTTGATATTCTATCTTTGTTTGTGTTGTCTTACCACACCTATTCTTTTCAGTGTAGATATTCAGTTTTCCTCATGTTACGATGAGTTTACTGATACCTAGATTCTTTGCCTTATGGCAACAACTATAGAGTAGGACCTGTTTTAGTCAATGTCCAGAGGGATCTAAGGCTGTAATTGAGTCAGTTTACAAATTCTCGAATACTTACTCTTACATGCTTATGCCTTGCATAAGTTTCCTCTGTTTTGAAAGCTACCTTGCGAAGTTGTGTATTGTCCCAATTTACCACACATCTAAGCAACATAGTCAAATTAAAAACAAACCAAAATTGATAACTGGTTTAGTAACATATACCATTCAGGCAACTAAAGATATAAATTCGTGAGTGTGGTTTTAGACCATGTTTGAAGGTCTGGATATTGTTTACCCCTACAGTTTTAAATAGGTTCCTGCACAACCCGTGTTGTAAGTATATTTTTCATGCACAATTTTTGTTTATTCGTATAAATACAGTGACAGCTTTGGATTGTCTTTAGGATGTTAGAAGCTTTGGTTCCAGAAGAAAAGTAACTTCTTGGGACGTAAATTTACTATTTGGTTATCATTCATTTTGTTTGACTTTTTCAAACCCACTTGACCAACTTGGGATTGAGTGGTTAATTAACACGAGTATTCGTCACGCGACAATTTTGTTGCAGCATATTGTGCAAACCTGTAACTGGTTTTTTACATCGAATATTTGGTCTTTTTGAATACCATCTCCGTTTTATTTTAATAATAATGCACAGTTGACATAACCTCCATACATTTTTATGGCAGTAATTCTTGGAATATTGATTTCCAATATTCTTTTTCTACAATTTTTCGAACAAACCATAATTCGGGTGGGAAATCATCATTGCACTGATGCCAAATGGTGTTTTCAATCTTCTTCCGTGTGATTTTACCGGAGACTTGAGTATTATTGTTTTCATCTCACGCTAGATTGGCTCCTTGATATTGTACGCTCTTTCAACGTCCCGCCGTTTGTATCAAGTGTAGGAATCTAGTAAGTGGCAGAAATCCTGTAGCCCTCTTGATCTATTGTTCATTAGCCTATACTGTTGTAGTTGACACTTCGACATTGTCATGAGGTTCATCTGTCACAAAAAGCCGTTGATTGGCGATTGTCTAAGTCCTGTGATTGTCAATATCAGACGAAAATATGACTTATAGGCCTTGGCTTTCGAAGTTATAGGTTCCAGTTCCACGCCACCTACTTAATCTTAGATAACTGGCTTGCATCACAACCCTTTGCTCAGTTAGTAACTTATCGCGTAAAACCTAGACCGATACGACTTGAATTGCATTATTAATATCAAACTGCAAGAAATTTGAATGTAACTCCCTGTCCCGTTGGTAAATCTATATTATTAATCCTACTTGTGCTACTACAATAAAAAAATTGTTTCCTACGGTTGGTGTTTTCAGTATTACTGCCTTTCTGTCGTCTTAGAGTGGGTTAAAGATGTAGTTTGTATACCTTTCATTACCTGACAACACTCTTTTAGAGAGCGAAATCCCTTATCATAGACAATTGCCCATAAAGTCAATTAAAACTGGTTAAGATAAATGACAAAATGGCTACAGTCGCTTTTTCACTTGCTCCTTAGAGGACGTTCATAGACAACTGAAACGGTGGAAAGAACAATTCGAAAAGCAGTTTAGCTAGCCTTCTGCTCCAGCGACTTTGATTTCAATGCCGCGTGCTGGACGGTCGGTTAACATCGGCCCACTTAACGAAGCGGAGGTCCATAAAGAACTCCGATCCTAAAGCCCCATATGACACTCGGCCCAGGCTCCTTTTTGAGGATTATAAGGCTGTAATTAGAGTACTGACTACGTTGTTTGGGATGTCATGAGAGACTGAGTGTTCCACCACTGTAGAATGCATCCACTGTTATACCCATCTTCAGAAGGAGTGTGGACAGTGTTTGAGATATCGAAATCATTGGCTGCTATCATACTTCTCAGTATGTGCCAAGCACATGAGAAATTCGTTTGCCATAGGAAGGGCAGGCTCCTTCCCCATCGTAAATGCATTGGGGATGTGTTGACTTCCTGCCCGATGCCCTTATGTCGTCAAATGGATTGCAGGTAAACAATCGTTGTATTTTTCGATATTAGGGCTGCATTTGATTCACTGAACAGACCTGTACTGTAGAATTGACTTTAAAATCTTTTAAAACCTTGTAAACCCCATGCTTCGATACAGCAGATAAGGTGAAGGCTTACAACCACCTCTCCCAGTTGTTCCAAATCAATAGTGCGGCTATTCGAGGCTGTCTAATTTCAAAATTCATTTCTAACTTCACCATCGGTGACATTCTAAAGGCAGTCTTGAAGGTGTGTGGTAATGGTGTACACCTGTCATCAAGCGAAAGACTTCTATCCCGAGTGTGCGGACCATATCGTTTTACTGTGAAACAGCCCACAGACTGCTCAAATCGCTCCTGATCAGTTAATGGTCAGTGTTTGTAACTACGGGATGTGCTTTACAACAATGGAGTGCAAGGTGCTCCTACAAGATTGGCAGGAACATTTACCTGCAAATACACTTGTTGATGTATCACTTGAAATTGTTTGATGCAGTTTTGTGTATGCATAAAAGTAGAAGGGAATGCTTCTTCAGATTTATTGGAAACTGCTCCTTCAATAACTCTTGTTTTTGTTTCCATTCTCTTCCGTTATGTATGTTTTCACAATGTTGCTTTATCATTTTGCGTGGCACATATCTTGGTGCGCATTCTCTGCCATATTTATGTTCTGAATTAATTTTAAAAATAAAATGACATCACTTATTTAGTATGATTACTAGACAAGCAATTTTTATGTTGAGAAAAATACAACTCGGCCTGAAATGAAATAGTTCGAAAATCTCCGCTGATCCGTAAAGCCAGAATTCAATGAAAGTTTACTCTTTTCATCGACTCATTCTCATGGTGTACAATCGCATATATATGCATTTTATTTATTTGTCAGCATGAAAGGAATATTTCCAAGAGCAAGTTAACAAAAACTGTTTTGATTAGAGATGTGGATATTGAAATGCTCTAATTAAAAACAAGTATCGTGAGCGATTCATTATGGAAATTATAAAGCCAAGACCAACCAAGCCAAACACCCCCTATTGTTCGTAAAAGGTTGATCGTTAATCTCCTGTTCAATGAAAAATCGGTGGGAATATTGGAAAATCATTTATTCTGTTCGTTGAGAAAAACCATTTTGTCAGCCAAACTCCTAATCACTTTCTCCACGCAACTAGTATGCGTAAAAGATAAGCTACAACTTTTGGTCTCATCAGTGTATATCTACCAACTCACCTGCTCCTGTAGAGCAAGTTATGTTGGCCGTACTGAGCGTCTGTTCTTTGAACACCATTTTGGTTTTACAAAGGAGAAAAAAGATCCCGTCGCAGTTCAATTGTAGAAACTTTTTATCGATTCTAGACAACAGGTGAACCTACAATCTAACTTCAGCTTCATCTACAGGGCATGTAAATCTCATGAAAGCTGTGTGAATAAAACTTTGAACTACAGAAGCCATAGCGATTTGTATTTTGAAGCCTGAACTCTGCATGCAAAAGAAGTTTGTTTAGTCACTAGATTTATAATGGACCTAACTTGTATAAAGATTTTATCATTGGAAAATGTTGATTTTTTTTTCTTCGCCCTTACTAACTTACTACGTCTTCCCTCCTCATGACATCTTTCTACCCTACCAGTCTAACTTATGGTTGTTGAACTGCGCTTAATTGTTTTAAGTGTATTGCATCATCCAACCTAGTTGTTTAATATTGGTTTAGCTTTCGATAAATCTTTATATTCACATTACGTAGTGTTCCCTTCTTGAATATCCGGATCTTTAATCAAGACTGAACTCAGTTAACATGCTTTTGGAAATATTTCTTGATAAATGTAAAGTGAATATATGCGACTGTACAGATTGAGAATGAGTCGCTGAAAAGAGTAACTCTTCGTTTTGTGAACTAAAATGTTAGAAAAATACTTCATACGCATTAAACAACTACCTACTTAATGCACTGTTTATGAACCAACATTGATGACTGGTCTTAGACTTTCTACCAGTTTGTGAAGTCATTCGCTGTTGGTCTTAACCGTATTTAGAGAGCGAATGTTTGTTGACTACTGTCTTTGTGATAAGTTAGTGATTGAAGTTGTTCAGTGATATAACAAATAAAACGGGAGCAGTGCACCTTAATTCACTGCACAACATCGTATTTCTAAGTGTGTCTACAAGCCCATAGTTACTGTTCGTTTCTTTCAACGAAAATTAGAAACTCACTCGTTCACAAAATACCAGATAAGTAACTGCCTATGATTCATAACCTTAGGTTTTCTGTTACTGTTAAGCTTTCACTATGCTACTCATTTTAGTGCATTGTTTATTTCCCCAGTTTTCTCTAACTGTTTTTTTCTTTACTTTCCGTAATAAATTTTAGCTGCATGGCAAACTATCCGTATCCTATGCAGAATTTTTTCGCACACAACCCTTACACAACGACACAATTGTCATGCCTCACTCAATCTTCTATACAACAAATGAATAAAAGTTCCTTCTTCAGCATATCACAGCTCTCATCACTTCGATCAGTGCGTGATCCATTGCTCGAAGACCCATGTACCAATAAAAACCTACGAATAAGCAGTACATCATGTTAATTTGTGTAAAGTATGTTCATTAGGTTCTTCAGCTGACATCTCGAAAATGTCATTGTGTGAAGTAAACTTGGATGATGTCCCGATGGAACTTGTTACTTCTGAAGAAGACTCTGAATCGGAGTATACCGATGCTTTCCTCTCGGCATACACTGATCCAGAAGATGATTCACTTGTTCAAAATGTAGGTTTATAATATTTTATTATTTGTTTTTCAAGTGTACTGCAGAATTAGATGAAATCGAACTCAGAAGCCGTGCCCTAAGGAGTATGCTGCTTCAGAAAAAAACCAGCACCGTAGATAAAACACTGTCAAAACCTGAGATTTCTCCTGATTGCAATGTACATATAGACATAAATGACCATTCGAAAGTTAAATTATCGTGCAATTCATCAGCTTTGAGGCAAAGACAAAAGTTCGTAATAACTCTGAATGATTCTTCAGACAGTGACGACTCACTCACTTACTCTACTGGGGCTGTTTTCCAAGGTTCAAAAACTGAAAATTCTTCTAAAACTCATAATGTCGCGAACATCTCTGAAAACTCATTAAAATTAGTCGTTTTCATCAAGAAGAGAAGATGCTGTTACAACGGAAAATGGAGTTGCTCAGATTAAAACTAACTGTAAAACGACAACATAATTTGATTGATGAACGAAAAAAGATCGTCCGGAAGTTATCAACCACATTGTCAGAACTTCGTAAGCGCACTAAGCATACAGCCTTGTTGTACAAAGAAGCCAACAAGTCTCTTTCTAAGGCTCAGCGTACAAATGCTGCTTACCAGCGAAAATTAGCTTCAGCACAAAAGCTGTATTCTGATGTGCTTAATTCAGTGAATCGTTCGACCGCTGACGTAATTAAAACAGGTTTTGCACTTTCCTCTGTAAATTTACGTAGAGATCTTATTGTATTATCTCTTGATGTTCTGCAAAGAGCGAAAGTTGTTACATGGTTCTTAGCTCATTATCGACTTGATTCAACTACAATAAAGTTCAATGTAGAAAGTGTGAAGCCATCACCTGTAGTGAAGAACAATCCAGATACATTTGATGAATTGGATCCATTTCGTCCAATATGTCCGTTTTTTCTGGATGGCGAGTGCTTGGATAAAACATGTATATATCAACACTTGAAAGATGTGACGAATGTTACCAAAACAACATCAAAAGGTTGTTTACGTATACCCATGATAGAAAATGTGAATTATGCACCACTGTTTGATCAAGAAAAAAAGAGGAAATATGATGATATATATTGTGAATTATGCAAAGAGAATTTGGTTACATCTTCATCGGATTCTTATCAAATACCAGCATTGCAGCGTTGGCATACAAATTATCTAGCATACTTACGTTCAGAGCCCAAAAGCTTATCATTCCTTAATAAATTATGTAGTGATTCTGAGCAGTCTGTATGTCCTGCAGACTTGTGTTCGCATCAGGTGTTTGGGTTGTTGCTTTATCCTAACCTGGATCCCATAACAACTAGTCAGAGAATTTTCGATCATCTGAAATCGTCGAATTTCCCCTTAGAAGCCTGCAGAATAGTATTACGACATCCTCGTATTGGTATACCTGTTCGAAGATCAATAATTCAGTCATCTATTGATTATATAACCTTACAATTGCAGCAAGATATACACACAAGTCAAGATTCCACTTTTGAGTCATGTTTTATATATTTTGTTTATCAGAGATGTCTTCTTGAACAAGAAATCGGTCCATCTGACAAAGTGGAAAGTATATTAGTGGATATTCTAAAATCACTATCTAAAGAAAGCAAAGTAATTTTTGTGTTGTGGTGGTTACAATTATATCATCGTCTTAATGGTACTTTGCCCCCCGAAGATCTCTCCTCTACAGTCAATATTCCATACTTCTCCAAATCCGTTCTCTTATCCAATCAAGAGGTGATTGAAATCGCAGTCACCGAAACTGGTATCTCTGAAAATCTATCTAGACTCTTGGAATCATTTTCAGACAATAATAATAGTGCCGTTTTCACCTGCTTTTTACTTATTACCCATTTATATATACAAACCCTTAATGCAAGTTCCAAGTTTAAACTTGCTGCAGATCTAGCACTGTCAGTAGCACTACATTCTGTTGAATTCAAAGACGATTTATTTTTCTCATCCGCAGTGTATTCTCTATTTTGTTTGGATCCTTCTCTGGACTGGACAACAATGATTGCTAGTGTATCCGGTAGATTACGGACAAATATTAAGTTGGCGCATCGTATAGAGTTTGGATTCTTGATAACATGTTTGAATTGGCGTAAAAAGTCATTAATTTCCATGGAATCTCATCTTATTGAATGTTTAGGCAACTTAATTTTTCTTCCCAAAGATGATAGTGAAAGTGTTATTTCAGCATATGAAGATTTACTGGACATGAAATCCAACAATGCCAGTTTAACGAACCTGAAATTATGCCCACGAAGTTCTACGTATTTATGGCTTAGTTATTCCTTGTACAATATTCTTCATTCCCTGGATTACCGTGTAGCTATAGACAGGTTAGTTACACACTACAAATCATTCACTAAGGTTTGGGCAAATGAAAGCAGAAACCAAAATTTTATTCGTCTTTTAGCTTTAATGATAATCTTTTTGGCGAACCATGCACAACAGTGTGATAATTCTACCTATCATAGTGTAATCAAGTCACTATTTATAGATGATCCTTTAAAGTTAGATCGCCAGACACTTCCGGTATATTTTCTTGAATTAGTCCAACAAATCAATTTGGGACTTCTTCCTTCTGGGATTCGTCATGATGTGTGTATGCAACTTGTTGAAACATACGGTCCGCGTTTGATTCCTTCTTTGTGTCGAACTTTATGTGCTTTGGGTGATCATTTCTTGGCTCAAAGTTTGTGTGCAGTTGCATGTTTAGACAAACCTGATGATGAAGACTTCTGGCTTTTGTATTCTTCTATCACATTCAATACACTATCAAGAACAAAGTCGTCTGAACAACTGTCAGCTCTTTTGGAGATTTTGAAAAATGCAACCTCAGTGGTAACTTCAAGTTCCCGACTATGGAAATATTATGCACTTGCTGTGCGTATTGCAAACGTCCCAGTAGACCAAATAACAAGTCGAGCAAAGTCTGTTGGGATGTACGACCTTATTTTGAGCAGTCTGAAGGATGAAAATCCCACGAAATTATTATCAGAACTTGAACTTCTTTGTAATGAAAAACCTAATCGGAAAAAGCAGAATTGAACTGTGAACGTAAGTTAGATGTTAGACTTGAATGAGTAATTTTATAGAACTATTGTTTTAAAAATCATATTGTTAATAGGAAAAACCATTTACTTTGTAGATCCATTCAACTTGATATAGTTTTTGATGATCTCTTACGCTTATTTTGACAAAATCAACCACAGGCTAGCTTATCACTATGTTTAGTACACCAATTATCCCGTAGTAAGAGGATTGCCCTCCAGTTTATCGACCAGCTGCTGGCAACCGTTAGTTACAGCCGTAATCAATACCGGATCATGAATAAAATATTGCACAGAAGCAAAACAAGTCACCCATTCTTTCACGACTTCTACCATATGACTGTTTTCTGTATTTCATCTTGATCCGTTCTTCTTTGGCGTCCTGATATGAGGTGTAACAACTTGAACCGTTAAGCAGTAGTAATGCCAGCCCTTATATTGTTACTAACTGACTGACCAACGCTAAACCAACTAGATTCTCTAATATCTCTGTGGTTTTCAAAACATCTATACTATATTTTTATTTGATATGGCAAATCGTGGTTTATTACCAGTTTCCAAATGATATTCCAAGTATGCCTATTCGTTCATAACCACCATTTCAAGGCAGTTACGCAACTTCCAACTGGATTATAATGGTAGTAAAGTTCTCTATTTCTCTGAAATAAGTTTTGGATCACTCTTGCTGCATGTATTTGATTTTGTTCTCATGAATAAGGATATGTTAATCAGTCTCTCTATCCACTAATGCCATTGGCACTTAGGAATACTTTTCCTTACCCTATTTTTTACTGTCTGTCAGTACATATACAGTTATGGTTAAGCTCTTCTGTAGATTACCAGTCTTCGTGAAGCAAATCGCCTTTATGCCATATTGTCTTGATTAGCCATAATACGCTGCTTCGACCAGTGTCTCTGATAGACACAAATATGTTTTACCACAGTGCTCAAGTTTAACGTGTATATCTATCGCACGACTTACTCGCTGACTGCATTCTTTTCGGTGCGATGCCAGAACAGTACTGTTAGAAATCCATTACACCAAAAATATAACTTTATTATGGTTATTTTTTATTCTTATCAATTTGAACGTGTGTGTATATATATGATGTATAAACTATATTCTCTCTTAATATAAACTGCGAGCATTGTGGCAGTATAGCAACTTAGTTACTGTGTAAATGACGATTAAAATCGCTTTATCGACTACCGCATGTCTGAACACACTATAGAACTCTCAGTATGTGATGTAGCTGCATTTCGCAAAATATTTTTAGACGGAAGCTAAAGGGCGAATTACAAATTGATAGGATTAAAAAATAAAGCAATTATTAATTGTAAGTGGCAATGAGAATAAAACAGCTATTTACTAACCAATTAAAAGTCTGTGAAACCATTCAACTTTGATGCAACAGAGAATAATAAAGAAAACATAGGAACCGATAGATTGCAAAGCTATAGTAAAAACAGCTTTTTGTGTACAAATTCAAGCGTCACCCGATATTCATGATGCATTAGAAACTAAAAAAAACATAAAGCAAGCCTACAATAAGGTAAATATCAGTTGATATGCTTTTTATGATGGAATCACCCGAATTGTAGGAATCATGAGCGAGAACAACTTGCATATCTGAGGTTAAAATCAACTAATTGATATTGAGAAAGATTAAACGTAAAACTATTCGAGATAACATCAATCGATGTTCACTTAGAACTCAATCATCTGGGAACAGTATTATGGTAAAATAATTCACCTGAATGCTGTGAGATCGTTAACATTTGTTAGCAAAAGTAGTTGATGAACACTTTCAGCACAGGTTGTAGATGTTCAATGTAACCTGTATTCCAAGCAGAAGTTTATGGAATGCTAGACATTGATAGTGCTGCGCAACATGGCATCGAATTCTCTTTTTATAACGAAATCATCAGTTCACAGGACAACTCAGTTTAAAGCAAGTTATACAAAGTGAAAAAAGGAGAAACGAAGAAAGAATAGTATCCTGAATAACACTTGTGTCAACAAGTAATGAAGTAGCGCTCTTCCCTTTACATTTAGTGTACTCCTTCCTTTCAGAAAAACAGGAATGAAATCTGTTGGCTATCCAGGATTGAGTATGTGCAACAGGAGAAGGTTGTGGATAGAGTCAAAAGTGTAAGTGCAATCTAAAAAGGTGCATCAAATATACTTGGCTCTTCTATCTTAACTGAAAGAAATACTATGAACCAGCAGCAGCATTTAGAGCAGTCTTCTGCTATGTGTAAAATAGCTGATTGTGATCATCTGTACATTGCCTCAAAGAAATTTCAAGTACGAATAGTAACTGCTTATCCATCATTTTAAGAAAGGGTGGAGTAATTGTTATTGATTTGAATATGAAATATACTTCAACCGATCAAAACTTCGGTACTGCGACAACATTAATTTCTTTCCATGGTGATGACACAACATTTCTAAAGAAGTGTTCATTGAAAGCGTTGTTCAGAGGATGATGATATAAAGTAATGTCGTTTTTTTAACTAAAATATTTGGCATGCCATCATATATTCATTGATACTAGGCATCTTAGATCTTTCTCAGTGAATCTGAGAAAACAAACTTCTGTAGAACTAAAACGACGAGATAAGGTAACGTGGAAAGACTGTATAAAATAGCTGATCTAGAGCAGTGGTGTGACAATAGACTTCATCACCTAGTAAGTTCTGTAAATAGTTTCCATAAGTTACAATTATTGTTAAAGGATTAAATATTTTTATGTACTTAATTTCAATGTTCCATTTGAGACCTAATTATGCAGTTAGGCATTCAAAATTGTAAGGTACTCTTCGCACTGTATAACCTCCCATTCTATTTTACCAGTTTGTTAAGGATAAGACAGCTAATGAAATTTGTATTTCACTTGATTATCAAACCTTCAGACACGATTTGAGATTGCGGGTGGAACTATCTAGTGTGCCATCCAAGAAGCTATTGGTTACTGTCCCTGAATGTGTTCCATAACATCTCTGAAACTGGGGAGACTATCATGTGAAGTTGGCTCGTGAAATGAAGTTTGTTTGCTGAATTACCGCATACTTCATACGGAATGTAAATTATGTAGTGACTGAGCTGATTTAGATGGCTCTTTAGCAGATCGACCCTAAAATGGCATCAAAACAAGGCGTAGAAACGGTGGTATTTTTGTAACTAACAGTTCTCGGGATCTTTGAGCATGGGGACTAACAATCTTGTGAATTTGTCAACAAAAATGGATTGTCCAAATCAAGAGCATGAAGATTTTGCAAATATTTGCATTGTATGGAATGTAACTCAACAGTCACATGCATTTCCATGCCTAGTCTTTGAGGGATACATTTTGTGCTGGCGCTACTTGACTCCACGCACCTTAGTGGGTGAAGTGAGGTTTCAACTCCGAAACCACTGATTGAAGGCTGCCTGTCTAGACCAGTGAACAAAGTTATGCATTTAAGAATACTTTATTTGGTGATATCTGTTCACATTGTAAACATATAAGTCAAATACATTTTGTGTATAGGACAATAGGAACACTTCAGTGCGTTTTTGTAAACCCCATTCAATATTTGATTTTCCAATACTAGTCATAATTACCTGACATACCGTGCTCAGTTGATACTTAAAATCGTACAGCTTATGTTTTTGTTGAAAAAAGAATGTTATATATATATATATATATATATATATATATATATATATATATATATATATATATATATATATATATATATATATATATAAAGACTAGATGAAACATAATTGATTTTGCTAAAGACCGGTCTCTGTATCATCTTGATATGCACACATTTAATTACTTTAAACCATCCAATTAAATTTTTTCGACAAATATGGTCTAACTTGACTTCCGTTGTTGTTGTTACATTACTACTACGTGCCCATATTATTCTTTTACGTTACAGTGTTTCCGCCACATCTTGTGTGACTATTCTGTATAAATTTTAGAATCCCCCCGCACAAAACCCAACCGTGAAAACAAATGTATAGTGATCTTTACTCATTCGGTAAGTCTGTCAAACCCCCTCAAAAACATGGCAATCAACCAGAACTATTACTTGTACAGTAATTTACATATATCTGTAAATAATAAATATTCCATTCAAGTTTATTTTTCACTCTTCACTGTGGATTTGTTGAAGTCAACGCCCAGAATAGATTCTGCCTTCGAAGAAATGTAACCTATCAGGTGCAACTGTGAACCGTGTTGTAAAACTTTTACCGAGCCATCCCGTTTATGATAAATACTTAAATTTATTCTAGAGCTAGGTATCAAATACCTTGCGAACACTTTGGTCCTGTCGTATACCAGACAGTCAGGATATTTGACAAATACGATGTACAACAAACCCGTTCGTTAGCAACGAAGTTGATGTCGTAATGTAGTGGATTAATAGGGTAAGGAGGATAGTTGTTAAATTGAAGGCTGTCAATGCCAACATTTCGCTTTCTAGTTATCCATCAATATAGATGATAGGAGTGAATTCTCTTGGAAAACAGCTTTTCCATCAGATATATTGTTTCCACTGGTTCCTGTGATTGATATGAAGAAGCTTTCTACAGCATTTCCGTGCTATATATAATATTGCGAAGATCACCCAGTTATTGCTGATCCACTTTTTATCAATTCAAGCGCTGATAAGGTTCATGCTTTTGGGATTCTAGGAGATAGTAGGGTTTGGGGGCTTACCTGTGTTTATTATTATTAAATATACACTCTACTACACTGTTGTGCATAGTGGCTTTTACATACTGACGTTTAGTGTTGTAAATCGTATGGTTACTCCGAAGTAGATCAAAGACGTTCAGAGTGAGACGTGACATCAGTCCATGAAGTCACCGACTGTTGAGTTGTGTATGGAAATACTGACTTCCGGCTTGTGTACTTCACGTGACAACCGAGACTGGTCGTTTGAGATGCTACATATTATGACTCAACTGGTCGCAGAAGTAACCACACGTCTCAATCCTAATCGTCACATATCTTGTTATTTGCTTTACTCCTTCTTATGACATTCCACGGCTTGTAATCGTTATTTCTTGTTTCCATGTATCTTGATGTGAGATATGGTACCTCAAACCGTTAGGCAGGTCCTATGTGAATATCACAGTTGCACTTATTGCCGAAGTATTTTCTGAAAATACAGATGGTAACACACGACTATGAAACAGATATCTTTTTGATCCATTTAAATAAGCTAATACAGCTGCATAAGTATCATTGTAATACAAGTGTCAAAAGTAATCATAATTCTTATATTCCCCAACTGTGCGGAAAAATGGAGATTACTTAAGTGTAAACGAACGTTTGCCGTACGCAGATGAAAGATAGTCATTTACATAAAATTTTCAGTTATAAGTACTGAGGGATATAAGCGAGTATATTGACATGAAAATTACAGCAAAGGTATCACTTAAACTTATTTACAAGGCGCCCAACAAGCTAAGTAGATTTTATTTAGTTTACTCGGAACTGTACTCGTTGTTAAAGGAATTTAAGTGACGTAATACACAAAGAAAAGAAAACTCCTCACTATTACTTTTGCACTCCATGAATCAATCCACTAGTCAACAAAAATTTTTCATGCTTTAACGAAATACGTAAACAGCTTGATTCAGCATAGAATGATGCTCAAACCTGAATCAACTAGAAGAGAGCTGACTTTTTCCACCAGATCAAACGGTGGAATACAGTTAAATATGAAGTTGACATTTCATCTGGATTCTGCGAATGCAGCTGAGGTTTATCTTCATAATCTACCACTGCCACAGAAAATCCTAATGATGTCACTGTTCAGAATACTTAGGCATGAGTGAGAAATTTCTTCAGTATCTCAAATGGGTATGACAGTCGAATATCAATGAACAGGACTGACGCATCTGGGGTACACGTAGTTTTCCCAAAACAGTAATGAGATGAATAAACATGACCAAGATACAGCATTTCAGTTACAGGACAAACCCACATTACTGCGAGGAAAAGTTTGTATGCTGCCTGAGTATGATTCAAAAAGCATTTCGTTGCGACAGTGGAAAAGCTATCAAGTGTTGAGGGAACTTAGTTAAAGAACTTTTCACAGCAAATAAACAACCTCAAGGCATGACATATCTTTGCCGTAAAATGAATGAATCATCTACTACAGGCACTGGCATGAAACGAATATACACCAACTCCTTGCAGCCTTTTCCTCTATTTTGCAACTAGCTTACAAGTATTAGATGAATCTCAACATAGTGGAGGTTAAACTGCAGGTTCAAAACTGAAGGATACGTGAAGCGTGGTATCGTGCGGCGTTTGCCTATTGTCAGGTCTCTGGCACATATTAAGGAATATGGGCTCTATATGTTCTGAAATAAACTGTGTTAAGTATTGTAATCCATTACACGCACTTTGTCTCATTCAGGACGTATTAAGTGAATATACCTGCATCCCCCCGTTTGTTAGTGTTGCGAGTGAGATTCGAACTAAGCACCCTTTTGCGTAAAACACTACAGCGTAGTCTGTCAGGATACTAAGTCAAAGCAAACCCTACTTTGTGTTTGGGACATTTCACTGTTGCCGATGTACATAATTAACTTGGTCAGTCTCAATCAGAAACACAATTCTGCAATGCTTTTACAACAGTGAAACAAAAACTTTTGGAGTGCTTTATTTCTGGACTGGTTGACTTCAATATTGAAGATAAATGATACTAGTATATGGACTAGTACTATCATAGCAAAAAAATTCAGTACCTTGAGTTCATGTGAAAGTTAACATTCAAACGGGAGCAGAGTTAGATTACTACTGACAGGGGAAGCCTTGCAGTTTTCAAATACTTCCTTTATGAATGGTCTAAACGCTATGCGTAAATATTTCAACTGATACTGAAGCAAAGTAATGGTAAATGCTGTAAAATAAAGTCTAATAAAACTTGTTTATTTAGTTTTACATTTTTACATAAAGCAATCACTCAAGTTAGAGATATAGACCTTCAGGTGTTCCTTCACTTTTCCTGTAAAGTACATTTTCCTTCGCCTTTTTGAAGTCCTCATCAGTGACCTTCATTCGCCTTTCTCTTAGAGCCAATAATCCGGCTTCAGTGCAAATAGCCTGGAAGTAAAACAGAGAATTAGGTTTTCATAAATGAGAGTCGATTTATGCAGCGTAAGAGCACGTTATGCATAACAGACGTCAGGTAACTGCAGTTAAAAGTAGACAATGAGTATCAGTCATCGACAACTAGATGAAAAGTTAACTACACCAGCACATCTGAAAAGTGTGAAAATCTTCAGTAAGTGTCATGGTTAACATACTTTTCAGACACCTTAGTTTTGATACCCTGCCCTTCATCTTATTAATCTCACTATTAATAATAACTTTACTGCTTTCACTTTCACTATAGTCTCAGTTTCTCCTCCTTAGTATCACTTTTGTAAATAAACCAAGTATGTACTAATGCAATGTTATTTGCTTCCAATGTTTGTGAAAACGACTGCAGAGTTACATTAAATGCTTTCGTCAAAAAAGAAACTTTCTCTTCACTGAACTGCCTTCTCCCTTCATTTCGAACTATGACATCTTCGATATCTATCAGCTACCAGGAAGCAGTTGAACCAGTTGCTGGCTTACCAAGTTAAAAATAACTAGTTGACCCGTTAAAAGTACTATGCAACGGTCAAAGTTCCTAAAACATATCATCATATCGATGTGAAAAAAATCGTGAATAGGGACTGAGAAAATGATCATATCTGGCATGACCATTAAGGTGGAGAAAATATGTGAATGAGTATGCGCCCGAGACCGATTATGAGTAACAGCACCTAGAGTATCCAACGATCAAGTCGTCATATGAACCCGATTGAGAAGTCAACATCTCTCCACATACGACTCAGAAACTATGCCACATTTTAGCCTGGATGTGTTTTGAGGTGCCAAGCCAGCGACGTAAAAGTGAGGTGTAGAATTTCACATGGAAGAAGAAAATCAGCTGAGGACGCAGCGAATTTCCACCGACTAAGATGGCTGGAACATGTGTTACGCATACCTGGTCATCATCTGCATGGTCGAACAATACGCGGAGTAGATTGAGGCTGGAAAATGGTTAGTGACGACTAGATTAAACACGGTATTAGTTGATAAAGTCTTTGACTATTGATTTGAGCCGTGTAGGGGTATGCAGACTTCCTGATAAGAGTCTTTATGAGAACCGAAACCGTCGGTTGGAGCTAGGTGATACGGGTGTCAAAGTCGATTGCACTGGTGGAGATATATCCACAACTTATATTAGTCGTTATACTGGACTCAGTACTTTCTGATTCCTCCTTGCTCTTTGTCTACTACGTTCTACCACTATGAGTGCTTTCTTTTTTACCTCTTTATTTCTCATTTAAGCGCCTCCCACCCTGATATGGTGTGGCAACTTGGGACGATACGCAGCAATGTCAGGTTAGACGCTGATGCTGACTAACTGAGTATAGGTGACAGCTATGATCCTTTTGGTGGTCCATATGAAATTATAGGTTTGAAAGTACTACTGATAAACTAAAGTTTATGTACACTCATTGTACGAGGGATAATGATATAAGAAGGCCGCCTAAACCTTAGTGAATGAAGAAGCGTTTTGATCCATGATCTGCTGACTGAGAGTCAAGCAACTCAACTAAACAGTCATGATTCCAAACAGATAGATATAAACGTAAGATTTAGCATAGTCACGCAATAATCCATACTTCTCAATTAGCATATATAGGCGAAACTTACTAGCGATAGTAAGTAACCGTGAGACAAATAGAAAAACATAAAAAAGTAACCATGCAGATTACGAATAAGATAAGAATTATCTGAGGCATAGAAAGAAATTTTAGACTCCACTACATGTTAGGCAAAGACTATAGATTTGTACCGCAGTTTCACACAGCGCGTATTTGATTAAAAAAAGAGCAAGAAAAAAGCATTAAGAAACCCTTTTCTAACTGATATGGTAATTAACATAAAAATTTTCTGTTAGGAAAGATGTTTCGCAATAAGTATTTTAATGCCCATGTTGTGCATGGAATAAAACGATACTGTAAACTGAAGAGACTAAAGTCACATAGACTCGCCAAAATGCTAAATTAATTTCCCAGTTTGTCACTGTAGATAGAGATGTGACCTATTGGCTTAAAAGGTAAACTTACAAACTGTTGGTCCCAAGTCCTAACTCCGTAACACCTACTTCGAAATGAACAATCCGGTAGCACTGTAAGCTCTAACACGACATGTGGTTAGCACATAATCCTGTATCGGGTTGAGTTGGGAACCTGTTTCTAGATATGAAATTGATGTAATGGATATGCGACTACATAAAATCAGGTGGAAAAATTTCTAGCAAGTTCAGACCTATTCTTCATGAATGAATCTGGAGTTATCACGATGAAGTATTAGAGAAGTAAGCCGAAATGCGGAAAAATTATATTCTCCTCAGAAGCGAAGTCAGTCTTTATACATTCAGAGGAAAACATTACGATTTTTTTTACAATTACACTATGAAATGTTGCTCAATATTAAAATTATACCTCATTTTAGGATCAGAGCTTCAACATACTTATATGGAATGAACACAATCTTACCTTGATATCTGCACCTGAGAGTTCATCTTTAGAAGCAACATATTCTTCTAGATTCACATCTTCTGCTAATGTCATTCGGCTTGTATGAATACCGAAAATACGACGCTTTGTCTTTTCATCAGGTAGAGGAAATTCGATCTTACGATCAATTCGACCAGGTCTGATTAATGCAGGGTCTAATGTTTCAATCCTGTTAGTAGCCATAATAACCTTGACATCCCCTCGGGAATCGAAACCATCTAGTTGGTTAAGTAACTCCAACATAGTTCTTTGAATTTCTCGTTCCCCACCTGAATTGGATTCATATCTAAAAAAAAAAAGAAGAAGACTGAATCTTTAATTTGGCTTATTTCATAAACACTTGAGTCTAGCTAGTGCATACAATCTCAGCATTGCAAAAAGATACACATAAAAATCGGAGAAAAGGGAAATATTCGTCATGAAGATTAACTTTTCAAGTTATTTTTTGAAAACTCTTCAAAGATTTGCGGTGAATTTGGAAGTGGACGGTTAAGAATCATAGCATGCTACAATGAAATACCATGGGATCCTTGCTTTATATTACCGATTCGAGAGAAATACGGACATTATTACAATAGGATTTCAAGTTTATATCCAGTACACAGTGAACAATCTACTAATTTAAGCTCAAGAGTGAATACAATATGACTGGTTAAAAAAATGCGAAGAAATACTGAATTCCTTCATCATATGGCAGCAATAAAAAAGATGAATAACAAGAGAAACAAACACAGATACGGTGAGAGAAAACAAGAAAACACGTGTGGCACATACATACCAAACGACAAAATGCTCAATTATTACGGTGATATAAAATATGTTTGGTAAAAAATTTTTGACCGATTTTGGACTATGTCAACCAAGTTTTCCGATGGTTGATGTTTTTTATTTGAGAGAACTATGGAAAAAAAAAAGTTCGGAAAAACACCCAACGGGTTAGTGCTGGAATTCACTGGTTGGCAATCCTACGGAAAAACCAAAGTACCTTACAATAAAATTGCTTAAATTTCTCTTTATCTCCGTTTAAATTATGGACTTTGTATTTGATAGGAAGCGGTCTAAATGGAAATCAGAATTCTAAGTCATCAACTGTCAAGGTAGAAGTTTTGAATTTCAACATTGTTTCATGTTAGTGTATGGGCAAGGAAAACCTTATCGGACAATGTTGTTCTTCAGCTGACCAGTGAAAATAAGTATCAAACTTCTGATCCAGTGACTTTGTTTTCTGAAAAACTGCATGCAAATTATGCTCATGTCAAATACAGTGTCTTCCTTACAATCACAGGCTATTCTTTGTCTTCTGATTTTTCCGGCTCAGTGAAGTATCAGGTTTGAGGGAGAACAGTCATTATTCCTAACCAGTCCACGTACCTTATTGCGTTAGTAGCGTCCACGTATTTCGTATTATTCTGTCAGTCACTTTAGTATTACTTTGTACTTATCCGTTTTCCGTGCACTTATGTCTTTCTGCTTACTTCACGACTGATAGCTGCTACCTTGACATAATGGTCAAGCTTCCATATCACTATGACCCAACAAGCTATGCTGGCTGGAACGCTTGTTTCGTATGATCCTACCACACCAGAAAATCAGTTGGATAGTGATAAGATGAAAAGTGATTAGAAAAGGTTGTTCCAAAAAATATCACACTCCTACCTGCCCTGCAAAATTCTGTTGCCGGCGGTATGAGTTTTTCTTTTCCAGCTTTAATCGAATCTTCGTTCAATAATCTTGAAATGGTCGTGTGTGACATGCCTCAGACAGATGTTCTTTGGACCTGCAGTCACACAAATTAATCCTTTTTTTCTTCTAGGTACCTTGCAGAAACAACTTTCACAGATATGGACAGCCTTGAAGTACCAACCTCGCACGCTCAGCAGTATACAACCCCCTTTCTCATGCTCACCTGTTTTAATATCTTTTTATTGATTTGAAAAGATAACCTTTTCTACAGGGTTCTACGCTGTTTGTTTACCCCAATTTAGTATATTTCGAATGGCAAAATACCGAATGCATTCACAAACAAAATATTGAATGAGCGCCAGATTATTTTAACTCTTCATCTGTGAATCACGCACAATCTTGAGAGGCGTATTACTTATCCAAAAATGTTTTTAACACTGGTTTTATTCACTTACGTTGAGTACGTGTCACATATACAATATAATGAATAGGACAGAAGGGAAACCTAAAAACGAAAGGAACACCTAGGAAAGAGTGCTAGGAAGATGCATGATTTCATCTACTTGTGTGCGTAGATAAACCTAACATGGGAGCTGCCATTACTGTGTTAAGATCCACGTTGCCATACTTTATATCAGCACATCAGGCAAGAATGCATCAAGATGAAAAATAAAGAAATAAACAAGAAAGTAACCAAGTGGTAAAATTCGTGGAAAGAAAACAAGGGGGCGTGAGATAATAATCAAATCCACAATGAAGATTTGTATGGTAATGTGTAAATATATCTCCACCAGTGCAACCGACTTTGACACCCGTATCACCTAGCTCCAACCGACGGTTTCGGTTCTCATAAAGACTCTTATCAGGAAGTCTGCATACCCCTACACGGCTCAAATCAATAGTCAAAGACTTTATCAACTAATACCGTGTTTAATCTAGTCGTCTCTAACCACTTTCCAGCCTCAATCTACTCCGCGTATTGTTCGACCATGCAGATGATGACCAGGTATGCGTAACACATGTTCCGGCCATCTTAGCCAAAGAAAGTTCAAACATCTTCAATTAACTTCCCTCTTCTAGCTAAAACTCTACACCTGACTTCAAACTTGCTGACATTGTAACACCATGACACAGGGCCTATGATATGAAGGCAACGGTGGTCGAATACCTGAAGACCTCGCGCGTCTCCTACGTTCAGTTGCCACATCTTACAGTTACATAGTAGAACAGAGCGAATTGAAGTGTAGAACATTAGACTCTTATCAGACAGTCGAATATCACGGCAGCGCCACAAGTAGCTTAAGTTGAAGAAAGACAAGCGATCCTTTTGTATCTGTGCAGAGACTTCATCGGTCTCTGCCCCCCCCCCCCAAGGCTAACACGAATTCCCAGGTAAGTGTACGTCGGATGTACAAAAGCTGGGGGCAATCAGCGACATGAGTAAAGATGCGAAAAAAGCATCTGAAATTTGTTCAGGAGTAAAAATACTGCATGTTGAGTAAATTCTGGGACCCAACTCGATCGGCATCATTGGTGGCCAAAATACAACTCGAAATTCACCGTAACTCTATAGACACATTTCAGTAACTACACAGGTTAATGCATTGGAAAACCGGATTGTTTTTATGAATAGTCCACTCATGGATAATGAAATCTATACTCAAGATTTAGAAAATGAATCACCTTTTAGTTCCCACCGCATCTATTTCGTCAATAAAGACGATACTAGGTGCATTCTCCTCTGCTAATCGAAACAGCTCACGGACCAGTTTCGGGCCATCACCCAAATATTTTTGGATTAATTCTGAACCGACAACACGTAGAAAAGTAGCTGAGGTTTGGTTTGCAACAGCCTTGGCCAGTAACGTTTTACCTAGAATGAATGGTAAACGATACACATAAAAATTGGTTATGCATGATGTGTTACGTCACTGTTCCGTAAAAGCAAAAAAGAAACCCTTTACTATGGTGTCTATACATGTGTATACAAGACTCTGATTGATAGACCGAAAGTGATACTATATGTGTTGGAAGACTTAAGAGTGATATGAAGGAATTATTTATTGCCTGTGCACGAGATACGGCTGTTCCCAAAACCAGAATGAATTATGATCAAGAAGACAGACAGATTGGTCGCTAACCTACGGAAATTTGGAGCAAAACTGTTATTTGTGTACAAAATCAGTGATTTATAGAGGTAATAAACAGTAAACAAGTGATAAAAATGAAAGTCACTAAGTAAATGGTGGTATGTAAGGTAACCTTTACCTTTAACTAGGAAAACGCAACATTTATGAAAATCTAGTCAAAAGCATTATGGCTTCAAACATTCTGAATACTGTCAGTATTATAAGTTCATAAAAGCACGTTTGACTGGGACTAATCACGAGGAAACCGCAAAATGTATATCGTTATTTGTAAGAACTAGAAGACTGATATATAAAGCGAAACGAAGAGATAAAGAAAAACACTGATCAAGGAAGCAGTTTTATGACATACAATTCAAGGGGCACTTATTACTTTTACGATACTTTTATAACAATAGAAGACATAAGAGAGCTAGGTAATGATCACTACTGAGTTATTTTGAGCCATAACTGATAAATTTTTGTGTTATCGACCCACGTGCCCAACTCTATCCAGCAGTTAGAACTTGGTATTTTTGGTAACCATATGCTAATTTTGTTTGATTTTTGTTAAAAATGGGAAGTCGGAAACATTGCCTATCAAGATGAATTTACTCTCCTTCTGGTGGAAAATTTATGCAACTGTATCTACGGCATTTTCATCTTCCAGAAACGCATAACGTTGTCATTATTTCATTTTAGCTGCCTGTGTGAGAGGGAAAATCAACATAGAAACTCGCACATAAGTGCATCAGTCCAAGTTGTCAAACTTTATAGTAGTATACAAGAATGAGTTGATAGAAAAAGTGATGTCGAAGTAGAAAATGTGTGAAAATACAACCAATTTAAAGCTGCTGGTAGATCTTAAGTAATTTCGGTGGGTGAATCAAAGAAGGGGTTTGTTCAGACTAAACGATATTCATCTTTGTCTCCTAGTACATGTACACCTATTCCATCTAATTTGTGTTTAATTTCGGGTCTCGAGATGTAAACATAACTTTTAGGTCAAACAAAAATACCTATTTTGCGTCTTTTGGTTTACCTTTAGGCAAATAGCCCAGTAATTTAATATTTTGATGAGTCACTCAACTGAAAATAATTTAGGATAGACTTGTGTTAGACTCAGTTACCTATTTAGCTTACAATCAAATGTAGGATAATAGCATTGTTAGATTGCAGCGGGATCAAATGAACACATGCATAATTAATAATATACATATACATATAATATATATATAATAATATACAGATATAAAGTAAAAGTGGGACGCATTAAATGCAGGGAGATGACAAAAACAACAATGCTAAAACGTTCACCAAAATTCCAGTTTCCAGAAGTGTAGATGGAATGTGAATAAAAGTAACGGGACACAGGATGGCTGGCCATGTTGGACACATGCGCTAAGTCCCAATGAAGCAAGAAACCTATTAGTCATGGCAAAAAAGCCAGGATAAAACCTCATACAAAGTGCAGTTACACTTAGCAACAGTAAGCATAGGAGTGAACTGAAGTAACAAAAACAAATACAAGAGAGACAGAAGGATACAAATAAATAGGGGTTAATAAGATGTTTAGTATCTCGAAGACGATGAAGAATTAGTGTACATCCACAGTTATGAAACATCGTGAGCCATGTTAACGAGGTTCGTTAATGATTGACTACGAAGGCCAGATGCTGTGAATGACATTTTTTATGGCTATACTGTATAAATGCTGATCGTTATTTGCTTCTGCTATATTCACAATATACAAGGAATTTCGGTCATTACGAATTCCTGAATCCTGTCCATTGGTGAGGTAATTCAATTCCTAATAAGTCTGTAGTTACTAACTACAATAGAATCACCCATTACATTTTGGCGTCGCTTCAGTAGATCTCAGTAACCATAGGAAGTTGTCAACCAACGGTTAGTCAAGGGGAAATATTATCTTGAATCCTTCAATACGTGGTGTTTATCAAAGAATGTTAAAATTCCCATTATTAAAATTAGAAGAAGACATATAAGCGAACAATGTTGTTATCAATCAGCTCTCATCAGGCTTTACAAAAATATATATAAACTTTTCTTAGTAATAAAACATTAAACCAATCATGGTGGTGGTGGTAATTAAGAAATGAAGCACGCAAATAGCAGTTATCTAGACAATCGTAGTAATAATGGCAATAATAATAGTTATCTCAATGATGATAAGAACAATGGGAACAGCATGGTACTGCAAACACTTAAACAAACAATATCCATCAAAACTTAGAGAAAGTTACGTAATACTAAAGGATGAAATGTGTAGATAATCAAAGTCTAAAACAATGAATAACCTTGTGTGAAACGGGTGTAGAAAAGGGAAGAGGATGAAAATTGAATTCATCTTTAAAGTTATTGATTGGGTTTTCTCTGGCCAAGGCAGAGATAAAGGCTGCACAAGCTTTTTTGTACACAAAGACTAGGTTTATTTTTTCTAATTCCATAGCCTCAGCTATATGTAAAATGCGGATGTGAATTCTATTCGAAAGATTTTGTGGAATGCGATAGACGATCTTAAACGCTTTGGTCTTGTCTATTGCGTGACCACTGTCGACTAAATATGACATAATTGAACTTCGTATTAACTTTACCTATCCCTTTCCTAGCCATGGCTGTAGGTGCTCAACAACACGTTTGTTAAGTTGCCTAGTTGTGCGCCCAACATACCTTTCTCCACAGGAGCAATTGAATTGACAAATGCACATAGAAGTGGTAGAACTAGGTAGCTTGTCTATTGTCTAAGTAACAATTACCGGCCGACTAGAAAATGATAAGCAGAGGTTAGCAGCATAAAAGGTTCTTCTGATGTCTGTGGACAGCCTGTGGAATAGAACTTCACCAGGTGTGTCCCCTTTGAATTGCAGCTTTATGAATATTGATTTTTTTTGAACAACCATTTGATCAGATTTCCTCCCTTTTTTAGTCACGTCTCGATAAAACGATGGGGGTAACTCATTCCTAGTAGCATACTATGGATGTGTCACAACTCTTTTTGTATCGTCATCGGAGCGGATTCTACTGGCTCCGTTTACAAGACACCTAATTAGACTTCTTTTACATCATATGTGCACAAAGCTAAGGAAGTGTATATACTGACCCGTAGATGTGGTCTTTCTGCGCACGTTTCTAAGTGATCCACCTTCTCTTCTGATCAATAGGACATCTAAAAAATGTAGAACTTTTCTTGTTTTTCTTCACAAGTGAAAGCGGGAGAAGGATGCACACCACTGAATTTTTATAATAATTCGTTTCTGTCGATGTTTTGGTCAAGGACGATGAAAGTGCCGATATTAACTGATTTTTTTCTTGCTAAACTTGAGAATGGACCACCGAAAGATGTCATCGATAACCTGCATATGTAGGAAGGTTATATTGACGACAATGCCAACATATTACTAAACAATTTGGTGGGTATTATGAATAAATGTAACGAAACCACAGCACGGATATTCCATATGAAATAAATCTTCATATCAGAAATAAGACAATGTTACCTGTCCCTGGTGCCCCATATAGAATCACTCCTTTAGGAGGCTTGATACCCATTTCTTCATAAAGTTCTGGATGTGTCAGAGGTAGTTCAACTGACTCTTTGATTTCCTGTATCTGTACATCGAGACCACCAATGTCTGCGTACGTTTCTTGAGGTGCCTTCTCCAGCTTCATAACTGTCACCATAGGATCGGTTTCATCTGTTAATACGCCAACAACTGCATGAACCTAAATTATCAGATAGACAGATATGAACATGACTTACTTTGTGGTTTAATAATACAGAACATCCGGGCTCCAGCATACCCTTGTCGACAAAAGAAAGTATACTGACATAATGTTCACTACCGACGGAAGTTGATACGACAACATGATTGTCATCAATTATCTCTTCTAAAGTTCCCACCGACATTGGTGTGCCGCGCAGATCATCAACTTTTGATCTTTCTTCCTAAAGGCAGTAATGAAATGAAACTAGAGGTACCTCATGACGCTCTTCATCTGTTTTTAAGCGCTCCTGGTTTTTGATAAATTCCTCTTCCATCAGTAAGAAGTCTTTAATTCTTTCCATCTTTAACAGCCGAAGTTTGCATCGAGTATGTGGTGTGACTTGAGGCAACTTGTTGGCGCTGTCTGGGCCTTTGGATCGCTTCTGCTTCCCCATCCTAGTGGGCACTGGAGGGTCGAACTCTCTTCGTTTTGTCTAACAACATAAGCAAACCATATTCCTTACCTTATCATCTTTCTTGTTCCCTTCTTGACTTGACGGTTTTTGACCCTAAAGGCTAAATAATCAGTATAACTGTACAAACCATTATTAATAAAGCCCAAATTAATATATAAAGTTTCTCAGTGAATAGTTAGCTGGAGATTGAGCGAACAACCAAATGTAAAGCAAACCAGCTGAAATTCCCAACACACTAAGAAGTCAGCTCGAACAGGGCGCCCCATCCAGCAATATTTCATCGGGCCAATCCAACAACATCCAACAACAATAGTGCAAGTAGTGAAAACTTGCGGTTTTTGAGCTCTCGCTTGAGGCCTAGTTCTTTTTGTTCGGCTGTACTCCTTCGATGGTAGCAGAAGTCTTTGCGATTTCCTGCTTATAGCTTTGGTAGTAGTGTTTGTCTGTTTGAAGGTATTTTATTTGCAAACTGTAGCTTGGTTTGTTTAAGGGGAGGGGAAACCGAGCCACTGATAGTATCAACCAACCGTTTGCAATTCCTTTTGTTTTTGGCATCCGCAAGTAAGAGTTAAGCGTTACTTAAAAAGTGATAGAAACAGGGTGAGTGGTGAATGAGAAAAAGGGGAGTGAAAAGTACTTTTGAAAAGATAAATGTGACCGGTAATAATATAGAGGAGAGATGCATCTTACTGCAGATACTAGGGTTGGGGATTACAAGGAGAATACAGGGATGGAAGGGCGTATCATCAGTTGCTACTAACAAATGTTCATGGTAAGCCATTTGCGCTCACATACCCATTTAGTAGTCGTTTGAAGGAGTTGACTGATGTAGCTGCGACCACTTCTCTCGGCAGCACGTTCCATAAGGCACATACTCTGTGTGAGAAGAGGTTAGATCTCACTCTAGTCTTTGCTCTACGGTGGGGTTCCCACGAGACTGTTGATTTTGAACTGATAATGCTGTCCTATTTGGGTGGTCCACTTGGTGAATGATCTTGTAGGCTCCTATCAGATCACCTCACTTTCTTCGATAACTTAGTGTGAACAAGGTGAGCTGTCTGAGGCGTTGCTCATATGTTCCGCCTGTTAGTCCGACAACCAACTTTGTCGCCCTTTTTTGTACCTCCTCGAGAGAATTCGCTTCTCTCTTAAGTAATAAAGAAGCTACTGTGTTGAACACCTCTAGGCGTGGTCTAACGTGGGCTGTGAGTACCATGGGGAGTAACTCCAGGATTAACAATCCAAGTTGCCTTCTTGGAAAGTACATAATGGTGTTCGCCTTTGTTGCCATTTCCCTATAAATACCAGTAGTATACAGCGTGTCAGAAAAGTGTAGTCCTGGGCCCTTCTCTGTGTATACCTTAGTGATTGCACGCCTGTTAAGAGTTTAGTTGGTTTTCATCGCCTCTGGTGTGCAAACATGCATCACCTTGCACTTATCCGGATTAAAGCCTAAACCGTTTGCACCTGATCAGGACTCCAGCTGCAACAGGTCGTTTTGGAGCATCCTAGGCTCCTCTTCGTCGCCTATCGTCCTCCACACTTTGATGTCGTCGACGAATAGGAGCACAACTGAGGTTTCGGTGGGGAGGTCGTTTATGAATGGTAAACGTAGAAGTGGTCCAAAGATTGCTTCCTGAGAAACTCCTGTTCTCGCATTCCTCCAGATTGATCGAATTCTGTTAACTTTAGTGCAGAACTCTCTGTCTTCTAGGTATGCTGTAAACCATGCTTAGAGTGGTTCAGTGATACCCACTTTTGCTAGTTTGGCGAGCATAATGCGGTGTGGGACACTGTCAAATGTTTCGACCAAGCCCAAGAAGAGAATATGAACTGGTTGTTTGTTGCCCCATCTAGTAGTCCAGTCACCCCAAGTGGTCATTAAGTTTGTGGCACACGACTGCCCGTTTCTGAAGCCATGCTGAGTGGGATGGATGACGTCATTTCTGTTAAGGTAGGCCCAAACAACATCTGTAACCAAGCTTTTCGGTGCCTTGGAAGGTATGAGGAGTAATGCTATTGGTCTGTAATTACACGGGTTCTTTCGGCCTCTTCCCTTGAAGACTGGTGAAACGATGGTGCGTTTCCATTTTTTGGGGAGTTGACCTACTTCCGGCCAGTGTGTGAACAGGTTGAATGTGAGTACGCTTAGCAATTCAGCGCAGTTGTGTAGGACAACCGGTTTTGGGCCGTCACAGCCCGGGGATTTCCTTATTCCCAGTGTTGAAAGTTTCGCAAACGCTTGGTTAGACGAAATTTTTACTCTCATTAGCTTTGTATCGCAGTCCTGGGACTTCGTTACACTGCTAGATGTTGGTAGTGGACGCACTACTGGGTTGAGGTGCTCGTCCAATCAACTGCTCAACAGTTCCGCCATCTCGTTCCCATCAAAAGGTTCTCTGGCCTGCCCTGGGATCAGGTTTAAGCCCTTATTCGTCGGTTTGCGTCGTGACAAACTGATACAGACTTTTTGGATTGCAACCTAACTGTTGAGCCAGGTTGCTTTGGTATGTATACCTGCCATTACAAATTCTTTTATTACAGAAGTTGCATAACGTCTTGTAGCCAAGACGTTCCGATACTTTGCGTGATGTACGCCGCCGGCACCGTGCCCTCTTCTTCCTCTTCATTTACCTTTGGGTTGCGCAAGCTACCCAAGACCGTTTGAGAGGTGGCCGTCTGGTTAATTTTGGAACACACTTATCGACAGCGCTCCAGATAATATCTTTAATCTGTATCGAGTGTTCGTCTATCGATAGTGAATGCCATTCTTGTGGCCATGCAGCCTACAGGAATTCACTGTTCATAGGGTGGTAGTTTGCTTTTCGGTAACACCATCTAATTCAAATAGATTTCTCCATGGGTATAAGAATTGCATATTGAGGTGAAAAAATATTTAAGTGACACAAAAACACCCTAGTATATTTAAAGCCACCTGCTTGAAAATACAAGCTTGGAAAGACGTGAGGACGGTGACGCGAACGAGAGAGACTCAAACCCCATCTCGCTTACTCTGTCTTCATGAATGAAGAATTCCTGGTTGACAACTTAGCAATCCTTCCCCCTTTAAGCAGGAGTGACCACGTTGTTATCGGCTTCTAGTTTATCTGCGAAACCAATCTAACCAGACCTTTCAATGAACATCGCCGGAACTTCAGACGACCTAACACTCCGGCTCTTCCAATCACATTGGAGATTCATACTTGGCGAGATCGTGCGTGCAATTAGTCAACCTGTTCCACTTTCTAGACAGAAGTTCTTCAAGCTACCCAAGGCAATGAGAAACTGCGCTTACAAACCACTCAGGTTAAAGGGATACCACCGGGCTTAACACAAGGGATTGGGATATACCTACAGACAGTTCAAACAGACAGCAAACATATGCACGAAAGGCATTAGGAGTCGATCAGCAGCAGCATCAAGTCAGGCTTACAAACGTGTTTGTTTCTAACCCTAGAAGTCTGTTCCATAACGCCGCTTCGTTCCGGCAGGCTAAAGCAGGAGTCTCCAACTACTAGGTGCGAACGGACTGACTAATAACGGCAGTGAAGCGACTGAGTTCCTGACAGACCAGTATCCGCAAATCTCTTCGTTTTCATCCACCTACTCAAAAGCTTACAAATATTCCACTAACGAAGTAGGATTCTCAATCCTCGATCCAAGCGTTGAGCTAGTACAGCGCAAACTGATACTGCTCACCAAAGATAACTCTCCGGGACCGGATTAACCCACCCGGCGGTACTGAGGAACGGAGCTTCAGTCTTGTCGGAACCTTGAGGTAAGTTATTTAAGAATTCTACGAGTCTGGGGATGGTACTGGACCCTCGAAAGCTGGGCCACATAATGCTAATCTTCAAGGGGGGTCAACGAAGCAATCCAAGGAAATACGGACCGATGATGCTTCTATCCATTCCCTATAAAGTAATGGAATCGTTAATCTACGACGAACTGGGGGATTACTTCACAAAGATCAACTGTTTTGCTTCCTAACAACATGGAGTTCTGCGAGGGTGCTCCTGCACTACCAATCTGCTCGATGCAGTGGATAGGTGGACTAGCACTGCTGACCATCGAGGATGAATTGTTGTTATCGCTTCAAACTTTGCTCAGCGTTTAAACGTGTTAATCCCGACTGACTTACTAGTAAATTAAAATCATTCAGAATTCGATCTCCGCCAGTTGACTAGTTGTCTTCATATCTACGATGCCGCGCACTTGGAGTTCCAGTGGGTTTCTCTTTGTCCGAAGAAACAGAACGTCCTAGTGGTGTTCCCCAGGGTTCAGTACTGTGGTCTCTCCTTTTTCTAACATGCATGAATGACTTGCACCGACAGAGCTCTTCCTGAATACTTCTTTTTGCCAACTACGTGAGAGGGAAATCAAGAGTGAAGACTGTTTCTCTACAGGAAGATTTAACTCAAATTCACAACTGGGTAGTCAATAACGGACTTACATTTAATCCTAGGAAACTCAAGGTGACATGTGTAAAACACGGTGCATTTCATGCATATACCTTCAAAGGCATGGAGCTAGAAGCGTCGCTAACAGAGAAGGATTTGGTCGTTTTCTTACTCCAAGACTTCCAGTCATGTGGCAACTACGACAGAAACGCATTTCGTTGAAACTTGGCGTTAGAAGATCTCGGATGGATTTTCGAACAGTTCGATCGTAGATGCTTCCAACAAATTACCAACGGCTTCATGGGGCCCCACCAGGAGTTCAGGAACATCTCCTTCCCTCCTTCACTGAAAAACGAACCGGGTCTAGAACGCATCCAGAGGCGCTCGACAAAATCCGTTCGAGGACTTAGGTCTAAAACAAACGAAGAGCGACTGGTTGCGCTGAATCTGTATCCTGTGGAATTAGGCAGGCCAAAAGGAGACTTAATACCGACTCACAACATTCTGGACACGCTTGACCACCAGCTCCTTCACCTATCAAATCTAAGCTGTAGCACTAATCTAAGAGGACACACGCAGAAACTGCGCCTGGAACGCAGCAGGCTGGATATCAGGCCTAACTTGTATTCCCTAAGGGTTGTTGAACCCCTGAACGCTCTTCCTCCAGATGTGATGCGGTCTACTTCGTCTGAATCCTATAAACGCTAAATGGCTACCTACTTGACATGTAGCTGGGACCTATCCAGAACCAATTGAATTTTCCCATTTTGACCGCCGCTTCCACCTCTTTCTTTACTTGCACACGGGTTGACAACCATGAGGGGTAGCAATCCACAGATTTAGGCGTGGACACCAGTTAAGCGAAAGCTTCCCCTATTCAGTCGATGGCCATTTGAACCACCTTTGCAACCGCTTGATTCGGGAGAGAGAGTTGCATTTCCCGCGCCCCTGACGTGCAATT